CTTATGATAATTGTGACAACGTGCTGGCTATTCTCCATTTGTCTAGCTAGAAATAACAGCCAGTGCTAGTTATCAACAAACTTCTATTGGATGAATTGTGCAAAAGATGTGTATTCGCACTAGCAAGACTGGCACGTCGCTGTCTAACTTATGAGTTTTTATACAGGTCAAATCATAACATGGCGGGATTAAACTGCACTTACACATATTCATCCGGACAATTCAGCTCCAGCAACACAATAGCTATGGAACTAAAATTTTGCAGTTCAAAGCCCTGCCGTTTTATTAGGGTGCAAGCCTGAAATCATTTTAGGTCATCCTGTGTTCTGGTCTACAACCGCAGATTAATTTTGTAACTTTGAGCATGAAAAAATGATAAAAATGGGAAAGCAAAATTTTTTTTTGTTCTGGTTTTAGATTTATTAATTCAAAATAAATGGGACGAAATCAACTTTCATTCTTCAGCTTATTTCGAGCGATAAGATTAAAACTTGAAATAATTTTATCAGACAATGCAAGTAACAAATTCGAAATTTTATTATTTTAGTTCTCCGTAAGGCCAGTGTTCTGAAGTGATCTATTCTAGTCTAAATGGAGGCTATCTTTGCGACTCAGCAACGCAGCGAGCTATAACTCGATTTAAGTTCTTACATCTAGCGTATGAGTCAAAAGGACAAGAAAATGTAAATGCAGTTGCTCTCTATTTACATGACGTATTTACTCTAAAAGTTTACCGCAAAAATGCAACGGAATTCCATCTCTCCTGTCTAGAATTGCTGGCAGACTGGACGAACTGTCGGAGTTTAGTTCATTTTTTGCTTTGGCTAAAAAAATCGAAAGAAACGCGAGATATTTTTTTCTCCACAACTGGTTGAGTCGTTCCTCTGAGACTGCTTTCAGGAAAAATGAACATAGCCAAAAAAAACAAGGGTATCCCAGTTCTCAAAAAAACTTGAAATAAAATATATTTTTTTAAAAAGTCGAGAAAAGCGGCGTGTTTATATTTATTATACCATGCACTTGTCATCCGCAAATATTTGTTCAAGAAATGCGAGCTACGAGAGTCGAAATACTATTTTTATGCGTTTTGTGCTGTGTAACAGCAGCACAAAACGCATATTATCACGGGGTTGTCTGTTTGTGTGTGTGTGTGTCCGCAGCAACTTGTCCGCAACTTTCAACAAAAGCTAAGAAACTGAAAATTTAGGGTAACGTTCCCCACCCACGTGTGACCCCGCAAATTTAAATTCAGCTTCCCCATACCCTCGGGTAACGCGTACGGCCCCGTGAAAGTTTTTCACGGGTAAGTTAATATCTCGGGAACCACGAAGT